GCCCCTCTCCTCTGCGCGGCTGTTTCCCACTTCCTGTTTTCTTCCCGGCTCTGGCGCCACCGAGGGCTGCCTGGAGTGGGGGAGGTGGTGGGGCCCCCCAGGAGGCCAGCGTGCTCTTCCTTTACCACCACCCCTCCCTTCCGATTCCCCCCATGTCTCTTAAAAAAAAGTTTGGCCGATCATGTGAACTTGGGGGGCGTCCAGGAGTTCGGCTCCCCCCGGCTTCCACCGTCTGTCAGGGAGAATCTACCCCGCCTCTGCGGGACCCAGGTGTGCCGCCTGGGACCCCGCCGCTGTGCTAACCCTTCCTGTCTGCTTCCATCTCTCCACCCTGTCCCCCAGCGTCCTGAACCCCTCTCGGGTCAGCTGCCCGCTCCCTGCCCCCAGGGTCCCCCGCATGCTGCAGAGGTCCCACACTCCCGAGCTTTCTTGGTGCAGGCCTGGTGGTTCCCTGACTGAAGCACGTGGACTCAGACACAGCACACACTCACACATGCTCCCCTTGCCCGTGCCTGGCTCCTGGCTCCAAGGCTCCAAGGCCTGGGGAACAGAGCCCCATTGAAACACCCTGACGTCACCCTCCCTTCTTCCTTCTCCCCCCAAAGCTGGGAACAGGCCCTCATGTATGCCGTGTCCGATGAGGAAAGCCAGTGTAGGGGTGGGCCTGGTAGTAGGGTGCGTCCCTGCCAGAGTGGGAGCCAGGGCCCTGGCCACGGAGGGGGCTTGTCCAGGGAGGGGGCTTCACAAGGGGGCCTGGGACAGCCCCTGGTATGCAGCCTTTGAGGCCTTTCCAGAGCCCCCCACCTCCTTTCCGAGTTCCTTTGTGTTGCATGTAGTCTCTCTCCTTCTCTTCTGCAAAGTTTATTTTTAGCCTCCTGCTCCCCCGCTCCCAGGACTGTCGCTGCACATACGTTGCCTGGTTACCGGGACAAGGAGGCTGGGGTGGGTGGGTTGGGAAGGGTGGCTTTAATTTGGGGGGTAGGGTGGAAGTCAGCACACCCCTCCAACCCTAGATTGTCTCGGGCTTCACCCCCACCCTGTCTTCCTGGCTCTGAGTGCCAGATTGGAGTTTAGGTGGGAGCTACATGGCGCTTGGTGTCCTGGTGGGGCCAGGAGCTTTTTGGAGGGGATGGGAGAGTTGGTGGAGCTCTGGTTTGGTCACTTGGGTTCCCAAGGGTTTCTGGGGCCTAGGTTCTCGAGCAGGATGGGGATAATAGGGTGAACACTTGGATTCCTGAGAGAAGGATAGGGCTATGGATGCTGGGGTCCCTGGAAGGCGTTGTCAGGGGCTGTCACTTCTGAATTAAGCAGTAGCTGCTAATGTCTGCTGTAGGTCATATCCCTGGTTTGAGGCTGGGATTTCTGAATGGGGCAGGGACTCAGTGGAGCATGCTGGCCAGGGGTGGGAGCTGGGCCCCTTGGGGGAGAGAGTCAGCTCTGGATTTAGAGGGGGCGGTCCCTGTGGGAGCAGGAACTGTTGATCCCCTGTGTCCCCAAGAGGAAGAATCCCCTGTTGGATTCCAGACTGGGGTGGAGTCTCAGCCTTGCCCCAGGCTTGGTTGGTACCTGCTTGAGCTGGGGCTTGAACCAGGGCCAGCCTGGAGAGAGGCTGACCCACACAGCCTGACTGGGATTTGGGACCCCGCCCATTTTTAGCTGTCTATCCTGGCCTTCTCCCTCTAGTGGCATCAGGGCCCCTGCCTTGCCTCCTCCCTCCTTCCCTCCTCCCACCCCTCCATTACCGGCTGCCTAGTGCTGAATTATTGATGGTCCCTGATTACCCGGGGGTTTGGGAAATGACAACAACCGCAGCCCCCCCACCTCCTCCCCCCCAGGCTGCCCACCCCCTCTAGGGACCAGCCAGCCCACCACCAACCTCTATCCAAGGTTAATGCTGGGGGCGGGTAGGCAGGTGGGCAGGGAAATAGCTGAGGATGAGAAGGCAGAAGGGGAAATAGGCTCCAGCCTATTCAGTCTTGAGGCCTGGGCTGGGGCCCTCCAGCCAGGTTGGGCCCATGTGCCTGGGTCCGGGGAGGGCGGTGCAGCACAGAGGGTCCGGGCTTGGGGGGCCTCTCTCAGACAGTCTGGGTTTCACTCTCCAGGGAAGACAGAAGCCTCTGTGTGTGCAAGCGCTGACCTCATCGTCAACCAGCCACCCCACCCCTCCTGGTCCTTTTAAGAAAAAAAAAAAAGCCTCCCGGGTCTTGGGGTGGGAGTAAGGGCTCTGGTAGGTCTTGGGAGGGGGACAGTGTATGTTCCTAGGAACGGAACCAGCAGAGCTTGCAGGGGTGGGGGTCGGTATGACTGGCTCTGAATGGGAATAGGGGTCCTGGGGGGCCTTGCCCCAACCATCTGGCCACATGTGCCCCTTCCTGCCCTTCCCCCACTGGCAGCCCTGCCCGCCGGCCTGGCTTGGTGCCTGGCCCCCTGGCACTGGCCCCGGGACCCGCCGCCACCCGCCGCCGACGGTTTCCTGTTTCTCCCGGTGCTGCTGGAGCAGGCTCCAGCTCCCCCCTCCCCATCTAGCCCCCTCACACACAGACAGACACACACTGTCTCTCTTGCCTACCCAGGTCTTGTCTTGGCTTTGGGGAGATGGATTTCCCCATGCTGAGGGTGGGGTAGGAGGTAGGCCCTGGGGGGTGGGGAGGAGACCCAGAGGCCTGGACTTGGCACCCTAACCTGGAGCCACTTCCCTGCCTGCTGTCCCCAGGGTTTGCCTTCCCGGATTGGGCCTACAAGCCGGAGTCGTCCCCTGGCTCGAGGCAGATCCAGCTGTGGCACTTCATCCTGGAGCTGCTGCGGAAGGAGGAGTACCAGGGTGTCATCGCCTGGCAGGGGGACTACGGGGAATTCGTCATCAAGGACCCCGACGAGGTGGCCCGGCTCTGGGGTGTCCGCAAGTGCAAGCCCCAGATGAATTATGACAAGCTGAGCCGGGCTCTGCGGTGAGGAGGGCACAGCCCCTGGGCAGATAGGACAGTTCCCCGCCAAATGGGGAGCCCCTGACCTCTGGGAATAAACTTGGGGCTTGACTCCCGGTTCTTGCAAGTCATGGCCATTGACCTTAGGCAAGTCCTAACCCTTCTCTGAGCCCATTTGCCAAACAGAGGTGTCCTGAGGAGGGAATGTAGTCACGGGTGTGGCCTGAGGGGAGAGCTGGTCCGGACCCTGTGTGGCCTAGGTGTCCCCGTCTCCCTCGCGAGCAGCACCTGAGGCCTGTCTTGGTATGGGGGTCCGGATTCGGGTCCCCTGTGACTAACCCGACGATGTCTCTGCATCCACAGCTATTATTATAACAAACGCATTCTGCACAAAACTAAGGGGAAACGGTTCACCTACAAATTCAACTTCAACAAACTGGTGCTCGTTAATTACCCTTTCATTGATGTGGGGCTGGCTGGTGAGTACCAGGGCTGGCAGGAATGGCCTCTGAGGGAAGAGAGGGTCTGTCTGTCTGTCCAGGCTAGGCCAGTGGCCTTGACACCATGTCTTCTTTCCTGCCAGGGGGTGCGGTGCCCCAGAGTGCCCCTCCAGTGCCATCAGGCGGCAGCCACTTCCGATTCCCTCCTTCCACACCCTCTGAGGTGCTGTCCCCCACCGAGGACCCCCGCTCACCACCAGCCTGCTCTTCGTCGTCGTCCTCCCTCTTCT